TGTGATGAAAAAGTGACATGTGGCCACCTTAAAAAACTCCTCATGCGGGGAATGGAGTTTTACTTAAACATTTACTTGCAATTACATATATATTTTTTTATTTCTCTCAAAAGGTTCTTCAAAATATTCAAATTGAACTCAAAATTTTCTTTTTCAAATGATTGACTTTGAACTCTCCAAGACTATTTTTTGTTTTGTTACTACCTTGTTTTTGAGTAAATAATATTTTTGGTATTTTGGCATTTTACAGGTTTCATGGAACAATTGAGTAAAATATCATCGTATATTCCAAATTTAAATTAAAAGGATAGCTTCTCCTCCTATATTTACAAATACAATTATGTTCTCGAAACCGCCAAATTTATTACCAATGGAACAAAAGCAGAACATTTCGTTACCGGAAAATCTTACAATCGAACAGCAGCAACATCAACACTACGCTTTAAAATGGAGCGAATTTCAATCATCTATTTTAAATTGCTTTCAACGTTTACGTGATGAAGAAGACTTCGTGGACGTTACTTTAACTTGTGATGAGAAATCCTTTACTGCTCATAGGGTAGTGCTTAGTGCCTGTAGTCCATACTTCCGTAAATTGTTGAAGTCAAATCCATGCAAACATCCTATTGTTATTTTAAAAGATGTTCGCTCAGAAAACCTGGAGTGTATTTTAAGGTGAGAAAGTATGAAACTAGATACTAAGGCCAACTCTGAATTTTAATAATAATCTTATTTTAATTTTAAGCTTCATGTACAATGGTGAGGTGAACCTAAGGCATGATCAACTGCCCGAGTTCCTGAAAACTGCGAATTTATTGCAAATTAGGGGTTTAACCGACGTTTCTGAAAGTTTGAATTCTTCGGGATTTATTTCTTTAGCGACAAACAAACGCAGTTTTGATAGAGATGCATCCAAAGAAGATCCTGCCGAAAAATGCAGTTTTATTCCAAAATATAAACCAACTTCTGAACGACCTTATATATCCACACTGGAGGCCAACTATAGCAACAATAATAACAATAACCTCCCGCCTATGAAGGAAACTAAAACTTCAACCACAGTAAGAAAACAATTTATGTACTATTATTTGTTATATACATATGCTCAATGTACATTTATTTAAATGTACATACGAACGAAACGCACAAATATGAATTACCAAGTCGGGTATTCTCTATCTTTTGACCGTATTACTGAATTCCGGTTTCGACCGAAAGTGGGTTAACCAGACCGTAAGTCCATTGAAACCAAAATTCGGTAATACGACCAAAAGATGAAGCATTGCATATTTATTTACATGTACATACGAACACCGGGTGTCCGCCCTTTCTGAAGGAGAAGAAAACGTTTTTTTTTTTTTTAGAAAACGCACAAATATGAATTACCAAGTCGGGTATTCTTTATCTTTTGACCATATATTACCGAATTCTGGTTTCGACCGAAAGTGGGTTAAACAAACCGTAAGTCCATTGAAACCGAAATTCGCTAATACGACCAAAAGATGAAGCAACCCCGACTTGGTAACTCATATTTTTGCGTTTTTTGTTTAATAAAAAAAAAAAAACATTTTCCTCCATTTTAGAAAACTTTACATAGTTTTGTCCGCAGAATCCGAATCTGCGGGAAAAACGTGTATGTCTCAAAAGAATGGGCTTCTGGTCTGTTTAATCCCCTTCCGATCGAAACCAGAAGTCCGATTGGAAGACCATTTGTGGTAGACCATTGACAATTTCCGGCTTCGTATATATGAGATTTTTGGGGCTTTCAACACTTGTGAAAAGGAGCACAGGACGAGTTGAAGTTCGAAGGTGATTTGAAGGTATTTTTTTTCTTTGTTAATAACAAGGTACGCACATTACAAAACTTTCACTAAAAAGATACATTTTTGTAAGATACACGTTAAGGTAAAAATAAATAAAATTAAACTCTTAGAAAAATATTTTGATGTGTTTAAATGCCGATGGAATTAATGAAATAATTGATAAAGTTAACAGTTAAATCGTAAAACCAAATTCGTTAGAAGTCATCGATTTAAAGAAAAGTAAATTTCTAATATTTTTGACTTGCTCTGGAACTTTATTTAATAATTTAAAACGATGTTTCCACGATTAGTAATTCGCTGACTAAGTAACTCGATAAGTAATTCGTGAATTACCCTGTTTCCATGACACACATTAGTAATTCTTTTGGCAGCTCTAGTTCTTGTTCTTGTTCTTCGCTATTTATTATTATTTTTTTTGTGTTCTGCAAATATCGAAGATGGAGCTAAAATTGAAACTATCACCAACAATTTTAATTTATATAGAGAATATTTTATTAATATTATTTTATAACTAGAAAAAGTGCCAGCAATGGGACCAGACCGGTGAAAACTTTGATATATTTGCGATAAATATTAGAGCAGGCGCCGATTCGTTCGTCATTCGCATGGTAATTCGATACAAAGTACCCACAAATGAGGTAATTCGCTCTCAAATTTTTGTATGGCGAATTACGTAATTGGCAAAGCGAATGACGAATGGGAGACCGAATTACGAATGACAGAGTAAATAACGAAGCGTGGAAACGCCGTATAACAATATAGTGTCATGCAATGTTGCCAGACAAATTTTGTTAAAAATCTGCCAAGTAATGATACAATAACGATACGCGAGGACAAGAGAAGTATCTCCTGTCATCAAACAAACAGTCAGCACATTCGCGCCTTGGCACCCACGTCACTGTTGACAGTTACAATTTCGAGAATTTCATTTACTTGGGAACCAGCATTACCACCGATAATAATGTCAGCATTGAAATCCAACGCAGAATCACTCTTGCCAACAAGTGCTACTTTGGACTGAGTAGGCAATTCAGGAGTAAAGTCCTCTCTCGACGTACGAAAACCACGCTCTATAAGTCACTCATCATGCCCGTGCTGGTATATGACGCAGAAGCATGACAACATCCGATGAGGCGGCTATTGGAGTGTTTGAGAGAAAGTAGCAGAGGAAGAGGGAGGCCCCCACTGCGATGGAAAGATCAGGTGGAGAAGGACTTGGCTTCACTTGGCGTTTCCAATTGGCGTCAGTTGGCACAGAGGAGAAACGACTGGCGTGGTTTGCTGAACTCGGCCAAAATCGCTTAGGCGGTTACAGCGCCATAAAAGAAGAAGAAGAAGATGATACAATTTTCAAAATCCATATAAAGGTTATTGAAACTGAAAAAAAATCTTTTCACTTCAATTCTTTTTTTAACATTGTACATGTTATAAAAAAACTGTAACACATTTTATTTAACAAGCTCATGAAGTCAAAACAGTTTTACTTGACTAGTGCACAAAACATACAAGTATTTTTATAGCCAAATATTATTCAAACATGAGAATTAACAAAAAATATTTATATAGTATGTACCTATAAGAATGTATACGTTTTAATTTGAAAAGTATTTTAACAAATATTAGTTTTCATTTAAGTCTATATCATGAATTAAGAATACCACTTAAGCTTGTGGTATCTAACTTATTACAAATCTTTTTTTGTTCAATTCTATTAAAGAAAAAACTGTCTCCGGATCTGTGCATTCCTCCTCGCTAATGATGTTGTTTCTTTAAAGTTAATTATATAAAATTTAAGTTGCTAACTTAATTTTAGAAACCAAAATTACTTTCCTTTTTGTCCTAACAAATAGCGCACCATAAGCAATTTTATTTAGTGAAAATTCACAACGCCGAGTTTTTCGTGCAAGGTAAACTGATGACAAAAACGAAAACTTTTTTGCCTCCTACCAGTACCAACTACCAAAAACCATATTTGGCAACAGAATTCTAGCTGCAGCAGTGTTTATTAAAAGTGTTTTAATCAATCTTTGTTCTCATTTAAATCTATATCATGGCACTCATGTCCGTACCTTTTTAAATAATCCTTTGTATAAAGAACACTACTTAAGGTAATGGCTTCCAGCTTATTACGATTTTTGCTGTGTATACATCTTTCGTTTCGGTAGGGGTAAAATTGTCGAAGCTGTAACGCATAGCCCAGCAGAAAATTTCGAAGGGCTTAGCATGCGTATTACAGCAGACAGTTTTTAATTTCATTAGAAGCTCTCTATGTTTACTTGCTATTGCAAATGGTTGCATACATATAGGCATATGCAGAGCAGAGAAAATGCGGCACAAATGATTATTACTTCCCATTATGCAAATTCTGCGCATGCATACAGCTTTGTACCTGTTATACTGTATTCAAACTGTTTGTATATGCAGAGTTGCGACACATTGCAACCATATACATTGCATATTTTTAATATACAATATAGCAATGAACAATTTTTCTGAATTTTCCATTTTTAAAACACCAATGGTAACCAATAACAAACGAAGCATGAACTGTGTTTCTGATGCGCTGATTGCTCTAGTAATGCGTTTCGATAACTTTTCGGATGCTTTTTGGAAAAGTATACATTGTCAATATTTTTTAGCTCGGCGTTATGGAACATTATACTTTGTACGTATATAAAGCAATTGACGGTTTTGTGTGTACATACATGTATGAACTCATTTGTTGCAAGTGGTTTTGATATTCGTAGCATGGTTTTAGGCATAGGTTTAGTAGCCTCTTGATAAAAAATCAAGGCGAAAATTTTTAAATTACTTAAATCATAGTAACTGGGGTCGTTGATAACTGATGAACAAACATACATATGTATGGATGACATAATAGCTCTGATCTTAAACTTTTTGTGTAAAATCCTGCAAAAATGTCAAACAGCAAAATCATTCTCTGAAGTGAGAGTAACAAGTGAGTAACAGTTAAAAGTACGGGAACAAAAAAAGCATCGGGTAAAATCTTGCAGCTTCATTCTCTACACAACTCTCCAATTATCGCTATCATTTACATATTTTTGGAGTGCGGGTAATTTTTCTTGTAACTTTCTACAAGTTCGTTTAAAAACCTGTAAGTTCATTGAGTACTGGTTCAGAGCTAATACAAGATTGCACAAATAGAAGACGAGAGTAAGAGGAAATGCCGAACAAATGAATTTAGCTTTTCATTTTGCAAACAAAATATGGTATGTTATATCGTCGCTCCCAACGAAGAGTAGCACATCTCAAATTACCGTGGAAGACTAGCACATTTCACTTTCCGCGTCGAAGACTAGCACATTTCATTATTCGCGTCGAAAAGTAGCACATTTCAGATTTTCGCGTGGAAGACTAGCACATTTCACTATTCGCGTGGAAGAGTAGCACATTTCAGAATTTTGCGTGGAAGAGTAGCACATTTCAGATTTTTGCGTGGAAGAGTAGCACATTTCACTATTTGCGTGGAAGACTAGCACTTTTCAGATTTTTGCGTGGAAGACTAGCACATTTCAGATTTTTGCGTGGAAGACTAGCACATTTCAGATTTTTGCGTGGAAGAGTAGCACATTTCAGATACTCGCGTAGAAGAATAGCGAATTCATATAAAGTGGTACTAATAATAAACGTTTATTTTCCTCCTACTCGTTTGGACGCATATTCGCGTCTTCCTCAGGGAATCTATTTATAAATACGAGAAACATATATGTGCATTAGGGTGGTCCAAAAATGCATGTGAAAAAGTAAAGTCGGAATTTTTATGCTCTCACCCCTCAAGATTGTTCTATACCGAAAAAATATATCCCTATTTTTTATTTTGAAATCAAAAAATAGTTAGAGGTCGCTCAAAGCGCCCAAAGTTTCCCATGTACATATTTTATATGGGGAAAAACACTTTTGGTAGAAATGGTATATAATTCAAAAAAACTATTTTTCTATCGGAAAACTTTTTTCAGCTGCAGGATTCCCAATAATAATACCCAATTGTTTATTTAACCTTTTTTCATCGCAACTATAATTTGTAGGTCCGCCAAAAACCCCAAAAACCCCGAAAAATGCAATGGGGGACAAATAAAAAATCGTTAGTATTAAAAAAATTGTTAAATAAATAATTGCGTATTATTATTGAAAGTCTCCTGAAAATAACCAGAGTTTTCTGATCGAAAAATATTGATTTTCAAAAATTCTATACCATTTCTACGAAAAGTTGTTTTTTC